CTTGACGGACCGCCTGTAAATACTTGATCATGGCCGGATGGGTCGCTTCGTATTCTCCATTGTACTGACTCACTATTAATTGTGAATCGGAACAGGCGTCTATGTTTCTTGCCCCTGCCGCCTTGCACATGCGGATTCCGGCTAGTAAAGCTTCATATTCTGCCTCATTGTTTGAAGCCTGAAAACTGAAGCGTAAAGCATACTCGTACCTGTCGCCCTCTGGCGACTGACATATGACGCCTGCTCCACAACCATTTGAAGTAGAGCTTCCGTCCACATATACCTTCCAGACTTGGTCTGAGGCTTGAGAATCAGGGGGACGAGTCATCTCAACAATAAAGTCAGCAAAGGCTTGCCCCTTCACTGCTTTCCTAGGCTTGAAGGTAACTTCGAGGCTCTGTATTTCTATGGCCCATTTGATCATTCGGCCCGACGACTCCATTGTGGTCAGTGGCCGCTTGATTGGTTGATCTGTATACACGACGACTGCATGCGCCAAAAAGTAAGGCTTTAATTTTTTAACAGCCATGAAGAGTGCAAGGCCAAACTTCTCCACTAAGGGATACCTCAACTCGGCATTTTTCAGCACATGGCTGACAAAGTAGACCGGGAGCTGACAGCCGTCTCTTTCAGCAAGGAGAACAGCGCTTAACGCATGATCAGAGACGGCCAGGTACATGTAAAGTACTTCTTTGGGCAAAGGGCTGACTAGCCTCGGCAAGGAATGCAAATGAACTTTTAATTTTTGGAAGGCCGTTTCAGCATCCGGCCCCCATTCAAACCTTGCCTTCTTCTTAATTGCCTGGAAAAAGTATAGGCATTTGTCGCCTGATCGACTTAGAAATCTTCCCAAGGCCGCCAGACAACCTGTTAACTTCTGAACCTCTCGGACGGTACGGGGCGACTGCATGTCTATGACCGCCTGCACCTTCTCAGGGTTCGCCTCTATTCCTCTCTGATTAATGAGAAATCCGAGAAATTTCCCAGACTCAACTCCAAAGACACATTTCTTGGGATTGAGCATGACATGGTGCCGCCTGAGTGTGGCGAAAGTTTCTCGGAGGTCCGACAGATGATCTGTTTGAAGTTTAGACTTGACAATCATATCATCAATATATGCCTCGACATTTCTCCCAATCTGATCAAAGAACACAGTGTTTATCATTCGTTGGAAGGTGGCCGGGGCATTCTTAAGACCAAACGGCATGACCGTGTAACAGTATAACCCTTGATCAGTGACGAAGGCCGTCTTCTCCTGATCCTTCTTCCATAAAGGTATTTGATGGAAACCAGAGTAGGCGTCCATAAAACTCATCAAAGCATGGCCGGCTGTTGAGTCGACCAGGCTGTCAATTTTAGGCAGAGGGTAACTGTCTTTTGGGCACGCCTTATTCAAGTCTGTGTAGTCTACACACATTCGCCAGGTACCATTCGGCTTTTTAACAAGCACAACATTTGCAACCCAGTCTGGGAAATAACATTGCCGAATGAATCCTACAGCAAGTAATTTTTTAACTTCGGCGACTGCCGCCTGACTTCTCTCTTCGCCATGGTTCCGCTTCTTCTGCCTTACCGGCTTCTTTTTTGGATCCACAGCCAGTTTATGTACCGCCAGCTCAGGACTAATGCCTGGCATTTCATGGACTTCGAATGCAAAGATGTCCTTGTATTCTTTCAACAGATTGTGAAAGTCATCACCTAGGACCCCTAGAGCAGTCGTCCCAACTTTGACTGTTCTGTCAGGACGAGAGACATCTAAGATTAGGTCCGTATGCTCACCAGCCGGCTGAGGGCGGAATTCATCCGACCGTTCCTCTGCCATTGACTGCTATTTTTTATCATTTCTTGCGGCCCCCATCTGGGATGCCTTCCTTTTCTTGCCGCCTGCTTCTTGAACAGGCGCATTATCCTTGACATTGTCAATCTTTCCTCCACCGGACCCAGCGGCCATAACAGTGGGCTTGACATCCGAGAGATAGCATTCTCGTGCCATCCTCTGATCTCCCCTTAGGGAGCCGACTGTTCCATTGTCCCTCTCAAACTTGAGCAACATAAGAGATGGGATTATTACGGCCTTGGAATTATTTAGGGTGGGTCGTCCCAGAATCATGTTGTAGGCCGAGAGTTCTTCTACCACCAGGAACCGGACAACCATGTGTCGTCCTTCCCCTTTTTCACCCAGGAGGATGGGTAGATCTACTCGTCCTACAGGGTGGACGACTCCTCCTCCAAACCCTACTAACGGGTGGGAGGCCGGATGTATACAATCAGTTTTGTACTTCAATTTTGACAGACATTTGCTGCTGATAAGATCTGAGGAGCTTCCGGTATCTATGAGGATTCGGCCAACTCTCTGATTGGCCACTTTACATTCAATGACGATAGGGTCGTCATGCGGCCCCCTGACCCCTCCTAGATCTTCTTCAGTAATGACAATCTCAGGAAATGAAATTTTGGAGGGCCGTTCTGGGTGAACAGAATTTACATCTAGCCGCCTGATATTGTCTTTATTGCCCCTAATAGTGGGACCTCCTCCTGCGAAGCCGCCTGCAATAGTGTAGACGACTGCATCATCTGTATCAGAGCTGTCGGCCTGTTGATTCTTTTTGGCCGACTGTTTTTTCGAGGAAGTGCTCCCCGTGGATTTCTTGACATAAGAGTCCAGATCTCCTTGCTCAGCCAGGCGGTCTAGGTACCGCATGAGACTGATGCATTCGTTGGTGTGATGACCAACATCTTCATGATAAACACAGAATTTATCTTGGTTCCGGTTGCTTGCAGAACCCTTCATGGGGACCGGCTTCTCAATAGAGATCCGTCCCTTGATTTCTTTTAGGATAGTTTGGCTATCCTTGCTAAACGCATACTTTGGGGAGTATGGTTTGAATTCTTTTTTCTTCTTCTGGGCCGGCTGTTTAGAGGAATCAGCCGCCCAGACCTCTTTTCTCTTCTTTTCATTGTTTGACGACTGTATCTGCCGTCCCTCTTTTTTGTCGAACCTTTTTCCGTCCGACTGCTTCACTGTACTACAAAGATCAGTTGCCTGTATATAGGCTTCTGCTTCAATCAAGGCCTCCTGAAGAGTCGCCACCCTCTTTCGAACCAGATCAAATTTGAAGGTCGACCCGTCTTTGAGACCCCTGAAAAAGTCAGTATAAGCTACCTCATCCGGTAACCCTTGAATCTGTATTCTCATCAGGTTAAACCGCCTGATGTAGGATCGAAGCCCCTCCTTCTCACCCTGCTGAATTGTTCCCAAATCCAGGGTCGTCTTCTTCGCAGGAATGTTCATGGCGAAGTTGGAGGTGAACAAGTAAGCAAGCGTCCTGAAGTTGTTTACACAACCAGTCGGCAGGTTGCCGAACCATTGCTGTGCAATTCCTTTGAGAGTCGCTGGAAAACACTTGCACCAAGTGGGATCGTCCAACCCTTGAAGGTACATTAGGTTGGAGAATGCCATCAGATGTTCTTCTGGGTTAGTAGTGCCATCATAGGCGCCTACTAACACATTTTTCACTTTGGCCGGCTGAGCGGCTTCAGTGATTTCCTTGGAGAAGGCCGACGGCTGTTCACCAAGTCTAAGCAACCGGAGCTGCCAATCCAAAGGTTGGACATTTTTAGCTGCATGTCCACCAAACGGAGGTGGCTGCATAAAATACTGTTGCTGTGGTACAAACGGTAGGTTTGGTACCGCCTGGTCGCTATGAAAGCCTGACTGACGGGAGGTGCCGCCTGACTGACTCTCATGATACGATCGGGTATGCCTCATCGAGGTATTTTGCAGACTTTCTTGAAAATTTGAAGTAGAGGCCGACTCTGACAGTCGGTCACTTTTCTTCTGTTCTAACAGCAGACGAGCGTCTGCGTATGTTTTCTTCGACCCGTCCGCCTGAATGTGACGAACAGGTTTCCTTTTTCCCGGAGTAGGAAAACGGTATTTTGTGAGGTCAAGGGCAGGCGGCTCCCACTTCCTGGATTTAGGATGAGGAGTTCCCTCTCGCCCTTGAACCGGCTTCCTCTTCCCTGAGGTGGAAGGTTTCTTAGCCGACTGTTCTTTGGCCGGAACAGGCTTCTTATGAAGCAACTCTTGAATTTCTCCCTTGAATTCCCTCATGAAGGTCATGAGTTCGTTCCTTGTGACGGGAGCAGTTCCATCAGTCGGCTGCTGCCGAACAGGCGGTGCGCCTGCTGGCTCGCTTCCTGCTTGAAGATGTTCCCGTTCCCTCCTTTCGGTAGGACGGGTACGTCGGGCCCTTAGGGTCCCGTCTGAAGCTGTGTGAGTTTCAACTTCAAATTCATTGTCAGTATCATGGTCCGACTGGACTTGAGGGTCGTCTAGGGGACGCCTCTCTTCAAAAGTCGGTACAAACGTGGATGCCATCTCAGAAGTACTCTCCCCACAGACGGCGCCAAAATGTTTCGGGGTTTTCTGATGTCCTGCGGGAGAGTTACAACACCGAGACTGGAACCGGACGCCTGTACCTGCAAAACAACGAAGACTCCTTGTGGTAGGAGCTCCGCCTCCAACGGTCAAGTTAGTTCTTGTATGAGGAGTAATAAGTGCGGAAATTAAAGTGATTGGGTCTCTCTAGGTGAGAGTGTTTAATGTGAGTAATCTGATTTCTCTCCCCCCTTAATGATGATTAAGAGAGGTATTTATAGCCTCGGGAAACGTGCCAATCTAGGTTTAGGTTAACCTTGGGCTGATTGGGCTTCCCTCGGAAGTTGGGCCTAGGTGGCCGGTTTTCCCATTTGGCATGGGTGGACACGTGGCGTGTCTCAATTGGTCCGTAGAGGACATATCTGTGATTGACACGTGGCAGGCTCCTATTGGCCCACGTGAAGGACACGTGGCGGAACCTGGTTGGTCCACTTGTCAGACTGCGATAGGTGGATAAAAATCCCCTAATCAAGAAGTCTAGTGGTTTCTTTGGCACAACAATTAATGAGGTCCTTTCGAATTAAAGGAGAAGTCATTTGATTATTTCCCGGGGCATTACTTAGAACAACCTTTGCAACATCACTATTATTCTCTGAAAGCCATGTTAAGAGTGCAAGAAAATTACCCCTATTCCAAGAGTCTTCACTTTCATCATGCCCACGACAAGCTAAGCCTTGACTTAGAAGAAACTTAATACATTTTAATGAATAAGTCAATCGAGATTTGTATTGAAGTTTAGCTTCTGTGGTGTAAGTGGAAAAAGATTCGGCAACTGATGTTTTTGGGTTAATGAAAAAATTGTATTTTTCATAAGCTTGATTATGCAAACTACCAAGACCTCCCACATGAATATTAAATCTACCAATCTTATTCCATCCTCCAAACCCCCCTTTAATAAAGCAATCATTAGCAGCCATAGAATCAACTTTATCTTTGAACAAGTAGCACACAAAACAAAAAGCCGCAGCTTTCTCCACACTATATTCAAGCCAATCATATTTATCAAACCAAGCAACATTAAATCGACGCATACCTCCTATTTTTCTTCGAGGGAAATTATGAGTGCGTGGATCACAACGTTTCATTGTAATATAACCTCTTCTCACAGCATCCCTGTCAGTAGCAGGATATTCCAAAATTGGAATTCTTTTTCCAGGATCATGTGGAAGAAGATGAACATCATAAATGCGAGTATCATCAGACTCAACACTAGCATTTGGATTACTTTGAGTTGTGTTTTCAGGGATTGGAATTGAAGCAGCCACTGCAACCGCATCATTATTAGGAGACACGACATCCGCATCATCATTAGGAGACTCAATATCCACATCATCAATAGGAGTTACAACATCTTCTTCTATTGGAGGATTCCTTGAACTAGGTGAAGAACAAGTAGAGGACTTTTGTGACTTCCCGGCACGTTTCCAAAAAGACTCTAAACTCATGGTAACAAAAGCTCTACAATCTACAATAATACACAAAATACACAATTAATTATCAATTAAAATCACAAGTCCCCAATAAACAAGGCCTTGCTGCCTTGGCTGCTGTTGATTTCAGCTGATTAATTCTAATTGTGCTCGCTGAGCACTTCCCTTTCAAAAAAAAAAATCACAAGTCCCCAATAAACACAAATTTGACAATATAAACTTCTTCTAATTATCAAATTTTAATTAACAGAACAAGTAAAAATTTATAATTTTAAGTTTCTAACTTCTAACTTTCTACAATTCAATTTCTCAACAATTCAAGAATTCAACAATATATCAAAACCATAAACCAATTTAAAAAATAAAACAAGCAATGAAGCAAACCAAGATTAAGATTTAATAGGAGTAGAGGAATAAGAGATTAAGAGGACTCACAAAGTCACAATTGTAGAAGAGAAGAACTCGAAATCTAAACTCGTCCGTGAGTCGTCCCTAGTCCAGTCGTCCACAGTCCAGTCGTCCGTATCTCCGTGAGGTGGTCGCCGCCTCGCCGGTCGGCCGTCGGTGTCTCAGTGTGCGGTGCCGGCGTGCCGCGGCGGCAGGGGCGGATCTTTATGTAAGGAGTTTTTTAAAGTTAGGGTTTTGGTGTTTGGGAATTTGGGGAAAAATGTCTGATGTTTGATTTTTGAAATATGACTTATTGAAATCTGAATGTAAGGAGTTTTTTTTTTAAAAAAAAAAAGTACAAAAAAGGGGGCAGTTGGAGTCGAACCCAAGACCTAAGGTACTAAAGGAGCGCGCTGCTCTATTCTCCATAGAATTACCAATGCGCCAAACTTACTCGTGTGATAATTATTCTCACCAAAATTTCTTGTAAACCTTTTTTTTTTTTAAAAAAAAAAAAAATTAAAACTTATATTTTTTTTCCAAAAAATCTGTGGGTTCAATGAACCCCCTTGAACCCCCCTAGATCCGCCCCTGCCCTCATCGGAAGCGAAAAGTCCAGCGCATCAGTCTCCCATTTCCTCCGCAAATACTCGCCGGAACCCTCCCCAATTGCCGCCATATCTGTCTTCGAGAAAAACTCAATTGTCGGAGATCGTATAGCTACTATCACCAATCACTATTGCTAACAGTACTACTCCGTTGTCAGAGGTCGTTTTAAGCTTTTGTGGCGTTTCTTGTTGCGGGAAAGGGGGGAGGGTCGGTATAGGGGGCAACGGGAATGGGGAAAGAGGAAGGTTGGGTTGCGGTGAGTGGGAGAGAGAGAGGATGGTGGTTTCCGGCGCCGGGAAATCGGGTTGGGTGCCGGCAAGGGAGTAGGGGCTGGCAGTGGTGGGGAAAGGGTAGTTTTTTTTTCTATTATCAAAATTTTAAAAATGAAATAAATAATTTATTTAAATTATTAATTTTTTTTTAAAAAAAAACAAAAACAATGAGGAGACACATGGATTGCAACCTGGTATAATAGGTCAACTTACCTGCTTGGTTTAATATGGGAGAAAAAATACAAATTTGTGTTTATTTTAGGAAGATTTAAACGTTGGTCCATTTTAAGAGAATGAAGCAAATATTAGTTTGTTGTTGTTAAATTTTCAAAAAAAAAAAAAAAAATAGATAAAGTATGTTGTTAAGGCATCTGTTGAGATTATTTGACAATTTGGCCCAATTGCTTTTCTTTGATTCATGTGTTGAGATCATTAATCTAGATTATCGCCATTGGGCCCTAAAAATATTTATATCTTATTTTAATCAGTCTTGAGGTGGATCCAAATTATTGAAATTTGAATTGGTCCAAATTGTATTTGGTAAGAAATTTTGATTGGATTTAATCCATTGGTTGAAAGTCGAATTTTATTTTGTATTAGCTTGAATTGATGAATCTATCTATACTTATATATTAAAAAGCGTTCTTAAAATTGTTTATGTGCCACGTACTTCTGCATTAGTATTGTGCCACATCATCATTTTGCGTCACATCACCACTAGTAATGCAGCAATTATTTCATGTCATTATTTACTTGAAAAAAAATGCCACAAGTTTCAAACACTAAACCTCATGGATGTAAAATAACATTTCTTACCATCTTAGTCAATTGTAATTTATGTACTCTATTTACACATAAATAAATTTATCTTTACTTAAACACAAAAAAAAAAGATAAAGAATAATTATGTAGTCTACAAAAAATGAATTAAGCGGAATAGCCTCAACAATTCCAAGACAATGGAGGATTACTCTCTTTAATCCTCTGTTTTATTAACGTTATGTTTCGAAGTAATAGCCCGGTTCAACACCTGGGCCACACACTAGTTCATCACTTAAAAACCGAATTTTATTTCGGATCGTATTTAATTTGGCTTACATAAAACACAAAGACTAATAAACACCCTAATTGTTTTATGCAAAATTTTTATTATCATTAATATATCTATCCATCTTTCTATCTATTCTACAATTGTATAGATTTTTTACCCAGTTTTAAACCTATTCCTCCTATTCATTTTTTTTATAACACAAAGTAAAGACTTATATTAACAGCAGGCTAAAGCCTTTAAGTTATTCCTCCTATTCATTACTTGAGCAATATATACACTTTATTTTTTTTTTATTTTTTTTTAAAGAGCACCAAACTATTTATTACATTTATTATTATTCAAAGATTATTTTTCATCGCAAGGAATATGTAACCCGTGCTGAAAGCATGGATGCATTTTAGTACCTAGATTGAGTTGGTACTTGGGACATATTCCTATTTACTGAAAACAACTTAACTAAACTGAATTGAATAGAGCTGAAATGAATTATTTATGAGAGAAGGAAACTAGAAACAGAACTGACCCTTTGTAGTAGTAATTTTGATCTCTTCAATTTGGAGAAGTGGTAATATTGCAATACTTTTTTCTTAATCAATCAAAAAAAAAAAAAAAAAAAAGCAGCTTTGGTTAGGACCCATAACTCCGGCGGTATTAGGGCCGTTGAGGCGGGGGATAAAGGTGGAGATGATGATTGAAAAAAAAAAAAAAGCTTAGCAATAAACAAGCATGCTGAATACTTCGTATAATAATTAATTAAGTCAAAGGAAAAGATAAATGTACGGGACCCAAAAAAAAGGGATATTCATATCATGATGAGTAATGTATGTAATCTAAAGCTAAGCAGAGGATGTCCTTTTGTTGATGGAAGAATTGAAGATGCAACATAACGTATTCTGACACGTCTTTGTTTAAAAACACTTGCCTTTAATTTGTCAGCCTTTGCGACATTTTCCCATTTCCTGCTGCCTCCAATCTTCACCTTCTTCTTCATGTACCATACTCGTATACTCGTTAAGTCGTAACTCGTACCCAATACTATGATCCTGTTCTTTTAAGTTGTTTTGCTCTGCTTTACTCTGCTTATATCTGCTCTGTTCTTTCATACTTAAAAATAATAATTAATATTTAATAATTATAATAATAATAATTAATATTTTATAATAATAATAATAATAATTAATATTTTATAATAATAATAATAATAATAATTAATATTTTATAATAATAATAATAATAATAATTAATATTTAAAAATAATAATAATCTACTCTGCTCTGCTGCTTCTTACTCTACTCTGCCCAAAAACTCAAAAGAACAGGGCCTATACCGGTATTGGCTAATTAGAAAATTCTCCGTCTTAAAATAAGGATAATACTTTAACTTTTGAATTTATCATACGAAGTATTTAACGTCTTTTTGTTTCATCTTATTTAACTCAGTAATTTATTGTATTTCATATATACTCATATAAGTCTAGAAACAATAAACTATGACATAATAAGGTCTTTTTATTTCAAGAAAGTTTTAGATTAGTTAAGATAATTGAAAATACAATTAAAATAATGTTAGTTCTGCGGAGTAATAATTTATACGAAGTAAAAGTAATAAAATTGATTCATATAATTGATATTAAAAAAATTACTTTAAAAAATTAATTTAATTTATTTTTTTTCAAATGCCTCTAATATTTTGTTTCTTAGACTAATGGAGTATTAGATATGACTATCAATAAATGTTGTGTTTGACAACTATATCATATATTTAATTTTAGGAAAATGTAAAATATCAATCAATTTTTTGTTATTACGTAATTAAAAAATTAATATCTTTAAATACAGAAAAAATATTATCTTTTGCTGAAACATTTGATTAAGATGATAAATTTATTACATTCGACATTCATAAATAGAGTTGCATAGTAAAAGACACGTAGAAAGTAGTGATTAATGACATCTTCTTGTATATCCTTTTTTTTTTTTTTTTTTTTTTTTTGATAAATAGCTCATCTACATATAAACTTTTAAGGCAATAAACAAACAATGATCAAACTACAATTATTGGTTAGCTTCAAACAAAATTTTATATAATAACAAAGAGCGACAATATCATGTAGAGCATCAATCCATAAACAGAAATTGTACTACTAATAATACAAGTTAATATTGCCTAATTATGATTATAATTGCCTTTAATGGTTCGAGTAGTATTTATTTCCATTTAAATTATTTTATTGGATATAAAAGTGAAATAATATTTATGATTTTATATATTTACATGTATGTTGTACTAATACTCTAATAGTGTTACTTATCTTATTCTGTTGTTTGATTAATGTATGTTTAGATGTTTATTAAAAAGAATTTATAAATAAGTCTTTAGTCATATAGTCACTAGATTGTATAGTTTTATTGGGAATAATATGCATCATTAATGTAATATAATATATACTACTTTTAAATTTTTTCAAAACAACTAATCAACATGAGTAACAAGTCTCTCCCTTTTGATTGAAGCTTTTTCTTCATTGCTTTTCCCTTCCTTGTTATTTAAATCTTTTTCAAGAATAGCCTCTCTTTTCTATTTGTATCATTCCTTATTGCATAAGATATATATACTATGATTTCAATTCTTTGCTTCTTCTTTGTCTTTTAGTTGTAGACTTTCTTATGTTGAATCCAACAACAAATACGTAACTTTTATGAAATTCAAGGCCCCCTTCAAGATTATTAAACTTCATCCCTATATCTGGTTTCAACTCATTGGGGCATATTGAAAGCCATTCTTTTGTTCCTCCAGGAGTGAGCAAAGGTGCTACTTTAGGAGAAACTACTATTGTAGGAGTAGTTGGCACATTTGTGATGGTACTAGAATGACTCTCAAGTTGTTCGTTGTTCCTCATCATTTTTGTCATTAAACATAATAGAAATAACAAGTCATTAACAAGTGAAGAACAATTCAACAAAACAGTAACAAGTGAATAACACAATAATATAGATAACATAATTGTAATTGATCAGCTGCAATTTTGCACCCCATTAAACAAACTTACACACACACACACATACACACTCTCAATAATTATAACCGAAATCAGATTTTTAAATAAGAACGTACATGGGCAGAAGCAAACACACACACACACACACACACTAATTTCATAATCTAAAATTAGAACTGAAATCAGAACTACAAGCAGAAAAGGAGGGGGCAGGGGGGATAGGTTTGTGCAGGGAAGTAGAAGAAGGGAGTGGGGTTGGTGTGCAGGAAACAGACCAAGAAGAGGGTGGGGCTTGTGCGCAGGCAAGCAGGCCAAGGAACTCATAATATGTTTGTTCATTTTGAATATATTTGCTCATTTTAATTAGTTTTTGCTCATAATCTATAGTAATTATAGAAGGGGGTGGGGCTTGTGAATCTCATTAATATTTGATCATTTTAATTCTATTTCGCTCCACAACAAGTTCAGAAAACAGTAAGAAATGTTCTGTTACACATATTTAGGTTTGCTCATTTCAATTTATTTGCTCATTTTGAAATTTGATTGAAAATAAGAACATAATAACAACATTCAATCGAAAATAAAAGCCTACTAACAACATAATAAGAGCATTCAATTGGAAATTTCAGAACATTTCTTGATTTTTGATCATAAGTTTAATTTGACATCATTACAATCACAATCAAGTTTAAACTGATATTATTAAAATCTCTAAATCAAAAGTAAATTCGGAAATTATCAAAACATGGAATTCAATAATTTCAACAAAAATTCAAAAGTAAATTTGAAAATTATCATAGCAATAAATTCAAACACTAAGATTATCATGCAATTCATTAAGATTAGACGACTGACATCGTTGAATTTTAACAAAAATAATCCAAAAGCGAAAATAATCAGAACTGAACAATTGGAAATTTTAACCAAAATAATCCAAAACTTAGAGAATGAACAAACCTCGATAATCAATGAAAATTGTGTAGCTAAGAAGAGGAGAGAGAAATTGTCAAGGTTGACTTATTAATTAGACACCATTGATGAAGCTTCATGGTGGAGAGATAAGACAATTAACTGTGGTGGAGAGGGAAGACAATTAGGCGTGGTTTTTAGGAGGTTTATATCATTAATCTCAGTTGTTGGATTTAATACAATCTAATGGCTGAGATTTGTTCTCACATATGGGATGAGTTCTCATATAGAGGGTGGTTCTCACCGGATCCCGTATATATATATATATATATATATATATATATATATATATATATATATATATATATATATATATATATATATATATATATATAATTAAAAAAAATTGCAGCATAAATGTTAAAATTGTCCATAGAACAGATATACTAAGTATATTTTAAATTGGATTTCGTTTTCATGATGTGATATTTTTTTTTAAAGCAAAATAATTGGAAAAAATGTAATACCAATTCAAGAAGATTATTTTGTTAACAATCAATTTACTATGAAGGAGGAAGCCGTTTTAATTCATTATTAATACCTCAAATCAAACTCGGAGTAATGAATCTATTAGATTTCGGGAGAACTCCTCAATCCTGGAGTGTGTACCATTGATCAGTATATATAGAGGTTTACAAAGTATCGTAATCCTAATACGATAAGGATACAAAATATATACAATAATTATCCTAATCTGTGACAAATATTATCTTAAATATAATAACTATCACACCCCCGCAGTCATAGCGGGAAGAGGTCGTACGCTAAGACTGAATCTAAACTCCAAAAATAACTCCCGTGGTAAGCCTTTCGTGAAAATGTCCGCAAACTGATATTTTGAAGGAATATGTAGAACCCGAACTTCACCCAACGCAACCTTCTCTCGAGCAAAATGGATGTCTAACTCCACATGTTTGGTGCGTTGGTGTTGCACTGGGTTTCCAGAAAGATAGATAGCACTGACATTATCACAATACACAATAGTAGCCTATCGAAGAGGGCGATGTAACTCAAGTAAGAGATTACGGAGCCAACAAGCCTCAGAGACAACATTAGCAACGTCTCGATATTCTGCTTCTGCACTCGATTTAGATAAGGTATGCTGACGCTTAGATGATCCAGAAACGAGGTTGTCCCCAAGGAAGCAGCAATAACTCAATGTGGAACGGTGGGTATCGGGACAACCTCCCCAGTCAGCGTCAGTGTAAGTAATCAAACGATGAGAAGTAGATGGATATAAATGTAAGCCATGATCAACGGTACCCTGAACATAACGCAAAATGCGTTTCAATGCATCATAATGAGATTCTCGGGGATCATGCATAAAAAGACACACATGTTGTACCGCGTAGGCAATATCTGGCCTAGTAAAGGTGAGATATTGAAGACCACCGGCTAAACTGCGATACAAAGTAGGATCCCGAAAAGGTGGTCCTGCATCTACACTAAGTTTGGACTTAGTGTCAACTGGAGTGGCTGCAGGTTTACAAGAGCCCATACTTGCACGCTCCAAGATCTCCTGTGCATACTTTTCCTGCGAAAGTAGCAAATAAGAGGGAGTACGGGTGACCGAAATCCCTAAAAAGTAGCTCAATGGACCCAGGTCGATCATAGGGAACTCAGTTTGCAACTGAGATATAATTCCTACACGCAACCTGTCAGATGAGGTAGTTAAAATAATATTATCAACATATAGATGCAAGTATGCCATGTCATCACCCTGCCGGAAAGTAAAAAGGGAGGTGTCACTTTTAGTAATAATAAAACCCAATTGGATCAGAAAATTCGCAAATCGCTGGTACCAAGCTCTAGGAGCCTGTTTCAACTCTTTATCAGTATTATAATTTTTAGAAAGAGCATTAATTGACGATAATAATGTAAATCTGTAAACGAGATTTAATCAATCAATATAACTATGTCTATCACCACTCCTTATGTTTAACCAACAAAATTAGTAGAATTGAGAACATTAAACCCTTGTATTCTTTTGGGAATTAGAATAAAGGAGTTTAAATTTCTTTGTTGGTATGGCTAGTTGCAAAAACATGTGGTAATGTAGAAATGTGCAGATGAGTGCTCGTTGGTCAGTTGGTCACAAGTTGAGAATAATAATAAAATTAAGATGGTAATAAAGTTCATTCCCAAAAATGTTCACTCTTTTTTTTGTAGCAAGAAACAAAGCACATGTTGTACATGTGATCAGATTCTTATCCATCTTCACTTCATCTCCCAATTAATGGCATCCTGTTTCCCACTTTGCTTTGGTCACCTTTTATTTTTATTGTATTATTACTACATTATTGTGTTTAGGTGAAATTCTTATAATAAATCATTTATTATAAACTAAATATATTGTATGGCGTATGGAGTACTACACGAAATTAGAGGGTTATTTCAAGAAACTAAAGGAACAATCTTACAAAGTGAAATTCTTAATTCATGTATATAAGAGATCGAGTTATGAAGTTCTCCATGCATTTGTATTATTCTTTATTTCTCTTGTATTCCACTTATAAATGATGTGTTACATATGGTCATCACGAGTTAGTTTTTGATTTTTTTATGAAATACCTTTTTGTATAACGCGACTTATGATTTAAAAATGATTTTATTTACAAAGTTTTTACAAAAGATATAAGGTATTCGAAGGGTTCATGAACCATTGAAAACTAAACCAATTAAATTGGAGCTTATCCATAGAAAAAATTATACGGTCTATTTCTAAGTTTCTACGTGCTTTATTTTATAAATCTACTAATATCAAGAAGAATAACGCTAACATCACGACGATCTATGATTTAACTAATGAGAAATATTCACCTCTTCCGAATACTTTTAAGTCCATTTTCAAGACTCTTACCCAAGATATCAAAATTTCACTCCATAAGATTAGTCACAAACTAAAAATGATTTGTCCCCCTTATTCTACACGACTAATAATCTGAAGAACTAAAACAAAAAATTCAAATTATTTTCTTGGATATTCTCACCTCAATCAAAAAGGTGTTAGTTCGACTCATTTAATCTCACGAACAACTCGACTATAAGTTTGATTTTCTAATAATATACGGAGTAAGAAGTACGGAGTACGAATTATGTAGTCAAGAGTACTCCGTATAATAAAGTGAGTGGTATATTTGTACAGCCATTAGCGGGAAATTTTAGTTGTTTGTTTGCCTTTTAAAGATCCAGCAAGTAGCCTAGGCAGTGCCAAAACATTAAAAAGTTCAAAACAGTGACCTAAGAGAGTAAAGAAACTCAGAGGAATGCATAAATCAAATAATCGGGCCTTAGTTATGAGATGAGATTGTGACAGCAAGTTGCGTATCAAACTAAGCTGAAGCTTAAATTATTGGATGCTTAATTCTTCAAATTAAATGTTTTATGTTGTACCAGGGAATAAATTTGACTTATAACTTAATCTTATCTCAATGATGTCACTAATTAGATGTAGGTCTTGTTCTTTAATTGATTACATGTACAATATCTTATTTCTTTCACTATAAATTGTTGGCTTATCAAATATAGTTTTCCCACACTTAATCAATTGTTCAATTTAGATTGCACATTAGAATGCTCATGCTATCGTGCACCCTTACCCAAAAAAAAAATAAAAAAAAATAAAATAATAAAATAAAATCAAATTCCAAATTTAAAAAAAAAGGTTATTAATGTCTAATTCTAAATTGCATTGTTTATTTTTGCAAAGCAATTGTGGGATGATCACAATCCAAATTTCTAAGAAAGATATATGAAGAGATTATATTTAATAAACTTAGAAATGACCTTCAATTTGGGATGAATTATATAAAATTGTGATATAAGAGTACAATAAGTACTTATTAGTCAAGGACAAAGGTAATAAATTGGCACTAAGGCTCTCGTCGTTCGTCTAATTTTTTCTTCCAACTTATATTACTATTGTCTGAACTTATATGAAATTTTGTGTGAAATTTTTTGAAAAATAAAATTAGTTATTCAATTCCGTTTGACTTGTTTTTTCTAAAATAAGTTAGATAAGATAAACAAACATACTCTAATAATTCACCACTTATTAAGAATCCATTTCTTCACCTAAATAAAAAAAAAAAATGATATTGCGTAAGAATTAGTCAAAGATTGCATGGCCTAAGGGTTTATTTGATTAATTTTATTTTAACTTATTTCAGAAAAATTAAGTTTTGGCAAATAAGTTATATCCAAACAATTTTAGCCTTATTTTATTTAAAAAAATTCAAATAAATTAAGGGAAGTTCAAAGAAAATTACTTTTGACAAAATAATTCCTTACAATTGTTTCAAAAAAAAAAAAAATTCCTTACAAAATTAAGATGAACCAAACATAGCCTACAAAATGGATGCGTGAAAAGAATAAGAGAAGGTATTGGGCGCGGCAGGCTTGGCTGGTATGTTTTACTTGTTGGCTGATATGTTTCATGTGTTGGTTGATATGTTTCATTTGTTGGCTGATATGGTTTTTGTAGTGTTAGGCTAATATATTCTTTTCGTTGGCTGATATTTTTTTTTTATGTTCCTTTTGTTGGCTGCTATTAGACATCAGTTGGTTGATATATTTCTTTAGTTGGTTGATATCTTTATTTTGTTGGCTGATATGTATATCTTAATTGTTGGCTTGTATGTTTCATTTTTTTGGCTGATGTGTTTATTTTGTTGGCTTACCTGTTGTTTTTGTTTGCTAATTTCATCCTTTTGGTGGCTAATATGCTTCATTTGTTGGGTGATATGTTCCTTCTGTCGGCTGATATGTATCTTTTGTTGGATGATATGTTCCTTTTGTTGGCTGATATGTTCCTTGTGTTGACTGATACGTTTTTATTAATGTCTGATATGTCCCTAATGAATGTTGTTCTCATTAACAACAACAAATAAAATCAGTGCCACAAATCCTCACGCCACCCCACCGATCCCACCGTCCATCGAACCCACTGCACCACCAACCACCGAACCCACCATCCACGGCATCACCAGCCGAACCCACCAACCCACAAACCCCTTGTCTTTCCTCGCTTAAGCCAACGCCGCGTAGCCACCACCATATGTCAAAATACCTGTAAAATCAAAACGTTGCAACAATCACTATGAGAAATAAGCAAGAAATAGAAATGTTTCCTCAAACGGAGTAATATACACTTTCCAAAATCCATAAAACCCAAATCCAGCTGCCCTTTGTTTTTCCACTTTCCTTCCAATCCAATCCCTCCCTAGCCACTTCCGAGTTTGACCGTCTAAAATACGCTTGATTTTATTTATTTTTTTGGAATAAAAAACACGCTTGATTTTTGTTTCTCTATTTAACCCATTTTGCTTCTTCACTCAACACCTCCTTTCCTTGAACTCTTCTTCTCTTTTGACACTTTTCTTCTTCCTTTTCTCTCCTCTTCTTCTTCCTCCATTAATTTCACTCCCAAAAGTAAAAAATAAAAACCCATTAAAACCCATTTCATATTCTTCCTTATCTTACTCCCTCTCTCAAAAAAATAAAAATAAAAAAAATTTAAAATTGCCTCGGTTTTTGTGTCTAAAACCCAAAAAACAGAGCTTTTTTCCTGGGTTTTCTGCCATTAAAAAGAACACAAGCAAAAAAAGGTGGGATTTTTATAGAGAGAACAAAAATGGTGCATCATCAAAGATACTATTACCAACATCAAATGAAGAAAGGAGGAGATGGATTATTAGTCAAAAACTTTATATTAGATGAAGAATCACAAATTGGGATTATTACTACTATTAATGGAAACTATTTTAAGAGAGCTATTAGACCTAAGCTTCTTTCTTTCCTCTTTTTATCTCTTCTCTCTTGCAGTCTCATCTGGACTCCTCAGCTCTTTGGCTTTCCTTCCACTTTCTCTCTCCTCTGTAAGTTTCATTTCATTTTCCTCATTTTTCTTTCAATTTTTCATTTTTTTTGGAAATTTCATTTTTGATAAAATTATCTGAGATTTTTTTAGTGAATAAGTGGGTTTTTAATCATCATTTGAAAAAATTCTGCCTTTTTTTTCCTTCAAAATCCCTGTTTTAGTGGGTTTTTAATCATGATAGTTTTGAAAAAAAAATCAGGGTTTTTCTTAATTTTTTTACAGAACCCCTGTTTTATTGGGATTTTAATTACCAAACTTGTAATATTATTTTTACTAAATCCCCTGTTTTGATGTTGTTTCTAATCATAAAAATTTGTACTTTAATGACTTTTATTTCTTCTGATTATTTTAACTGTGTTTTAATGACTTATGTTTATTTGTTTGTAAATTTTGCAGATTCATTAGGAGCAGAGGATGAGCATATGGGTTCTGACATGGCTTCTAAGCTTCCTCTTTGTTCTTCCGTCTCTAATGGTTTGTTCTCTCTCTCTCATAATTACTGTATAATTTTATTCCTTTTACCTGTCAAAAGTATAAGCCGAAGTTGTGGATGCCACCTAGCTTAGTTAATACCTGAAATCAAATTCCGTCTATATCATTGCTGCAATCTATGGTTCAGTGGTTCTCTGTACACCAAAAATATTGATTTTGAAAAATGTCTTCCTTGTTAACTTATTGAATCATGATGGTATTTAACAAAAAAATGTTAGGATGAAGTTTATTCTAATAAATCATATGGTAAAGTTAATTTTAGATGCATTAATTTGTCACTAGGATAGCTGTCAATAATGGCATATTGCTATGAATTTGCATAGATGAATTTATTAATAAAT